CGTTGTCGTCGTCGTCGTCGTCGTCATCGTCGTCGTCGTCGCCGTCGTCGTCGTCGTCGTCGTCCACCTCCTGGGGAAGGCGGACGGACGCACCGACAGATGCGGGCGGACGGGCACTGCGCCAGCACTGCCGCTGCCCCCCAGGGCGTGCAGTCGCCAAAGTGCTCGGCGTGGCATCCTTCGAGATGCAGGGCCCGAGGCTAGCTTCCAATGTCGGAGAACACAGCGACGAAACAAACAGAACTCGGGGGTCCGAGCGGATTCCTCGGGTTGGTGCTGGGGCCCACCTGGCGGCGCATCAGGCGCCGCCCATTTGAGCGCTCCGCGCGCCAGGGAGGGGGGGGGGGTCCAGCGCCGATCTGAGAAATCCGAGCGAGCCTCGGAAACTTCTATGTTTGTATGGCACTGTTTGTTCACTGACGTTCCAAGGTCAGGTCAGTCACCCATGTTGCCAGGTTCAGGAAAACGACAGCTCGAGCGTAAGGTCGGACAACAATGGGGGGAGCAACGGGGGGAGGTTAGCGAACCTGCTCCCGTAGCTCTTGTTCCCAGCGCCCCTCGGCTCTGGAGGCGCCAATGTATGGAGGAATGCGCCCGACGGCGGGTCCGAAGCCAGCTGCATGCAGCAGATTTCGCACCCCCCGTTCCCAATCCCGCCCTGTCGTCCTACCGGAAATTGGGGGGCTCAGAAAACTGAGAAAACCAATTGAACCATGTTTTACATTAAAAACTGCAAACAACATTGGTTTGTTTGCTTTGTTCAACCTTCATTCAACAATGTGTTTCAATCTTCGGTTTTCCCAACCATCCTGTGGTGTCGGGTCCTCGCTTTGAAGAGACAGCGACCCGCGTCCTCCTCCGCCTCCTCCTCCTCCTCCCCTCCTCCTCCCTCCCCCTCCTCCCTGCGTTTCATCCACCCAGTACAGCGCTTCGTGGCCCCATAGGCAGCTCCACCGAAGGTCCCAGGTCTACCGTCCGCATGCCCCCCCCCCCCCGCCCAGTACAGCGTTTCGTGGCCCTCCTCCCCCTCCTCCCTGCGCTTCACCCAACCAATGCAACGCTTCGTGGCCCCATAAGGAGCTCCACCGAAGGTCCCAGGTAACGGAAAGAGCGAGGTACGAGTGATGACGTTGTGTTGGGGCGAAGCCCTTAAGGGAAGGGTCCAGGGGAGGGGCGAGGCGGAGACGCAAAGTTGGTAATGGCCGTACGGGAAAACGTGCATGTTTAGCATGTACGGCTTTTCGGCTTTCACGGCGTTGACGACGGCCCACGAGGCCCCCAACACCGCCCCAAGACGGCTCAAGATGCTCCCAAGAGGCCCCCAAAACGGCCCAAGAGGGCCCCCAGACGGCCCACGAGGCGCCCAAGACGGCCTCAGAGGGCCCCAAGACGGCCCCAAGAGGGGGACCACGAACCGAAATGTCTAGCCTTTCGCCCCAAGACGCTCCCAGGAGGCCCCAAGAGCCCCCCACGAGGCCCCCAAGAGGCTTCCCAAGAGGCCACCAGGAGGCCAAAATCATAGATTTCTTTTTGGGAAAGGTACATGTTTAACATACGCAGCTTTTCGGCTTTCACGGCGTTGAAGACGGTCCAAGAGGCCCCAAGGACCGCCCCAAGACGGCCCAAGAGGCCCCCAAAACGGCCCAAGAGGGCGCCAAGACGGCCCAAGAGGCCCCCAAGACGGCCCAAGAAGGCCCCAAGACGGCCCCAAGAGGGGGACCACGAACCGAACAGTCTAGCCTTTCTCCCCAGGAAGCTCCCAGGAGGCCCCGCGAGCCCCCCAAGAAGCCCCAAGAGGCCCCCAAGAGGCCCCCAAAAGGGCTCCAAAAGGGCCCCAATAGGACTCCCAAGAAGGCCCAGAGACGCCACATAAAGAGCGATCGGTAACGCAAAAAGCTCTTCACACAAGGCTCCCAAGAGCGAACGGTGACATAAACACGCTGATAAGACCAAGGCTCCCAGCAGAGAGCGGTGACGTAACAAGTTACTGACGCCAAGGCCCAACCAAGACTCAGGAACGGGCGGCGACGCAACAATCTCTGAACATCAAGGCTCCCAAGAGCGGGGGGTGACGTACCAAACTCTCAACGCCAAGCCTCCCAATACGAACGGTGGTGTGAATACTTTATGTTTTCTGTTTCTGAAGCGCTCTTTCCGTTTCCGTGCCGACCCAGGTCTACCGTCCGCATGCGTCCCCCCCACCGAATACAGCGTTTCGTGGCCCTCCTCCCCCTCCTCCCTGCGTTTCACCCAACCAATACAACGCTTCGTGGCATCACAAGGAGCTCCACATAAGGTCCCAAGTAACGGAAAGAGCGAGGTACGAGTGATGACGTTGTGTTGGGGCGAAGCCCTTAAGGGAAGGGTCCAGGGGAAAGGCGAGGCGGAGACGCAAGGTTGGTAATGGCGGTACGGAAAAACGTGCATGTTTAGCATGTACGGCTTTTCGGATTTCACGGCGTTGACGACGGCCCACGAGGCCCCCAAGACCGCCCCAAGACGGCTCAAGAGCCCACCCAGTACAGCGCTTCGTGGCCAAGACCGCCCCACGAGGCCCCCGAGACCGCCCCAAGACGGCTCAAGAGCTCCTCCCCCTCCTCCCTGCGTTTCACCCACCCAGTACAGCGCTTCGTGGCCCCATAGGGAGCTCCACCGAAGGTCTCAGGTCTACCGTCCGCATGCCCCCCCCCCGCCCAATACAGCGTTTCGTGGCCCTCCTCCCCCTCCTCCCTGCGTGTCACCCAACCAATACAGCGCCTCATGGCATCACAAAGAGCTCCACCGAAGGTCCCAGGTAACGGAAAGAGCGAGGTACGAGGTAATGACATTGTGTTGGGGCAAAGCCCTTAAGGGAAGCCTCCAGGGGAGGGGCGAGGCGGAGACGCAGGGTTGGTAATGGCCGTTTTCGGGTTGTCCCTCTGGTTTTGCATGTGCTTCGGGTTCCCCCCCAAGACGGCCCGAGAGCGCTCCAAGAGAGTCCAAGACCGCCCAAGACGGCCCAACAGGCCCCCAAGAGGCGGCCATGAGGAGCCCCACCGAGGATCCCAGTGCTGCTGTCCGCATGCGTCCAGCACGCCCAATAAAGCGCTTCGTGGCCCCATAGAGAGCTCCACCGCAGCCCAAAAATGTTACCGTCCGCGTGCGTCCCGCATACACGCATGCGTCCGCATGCGTCCCGCAACGCCTAATTTGGCATTTTCACTCACTTATAATACAGCGCTTCGTGGCCTCATAGGGAGCTCCATTGAAGGCCCCAGTGCCACCGTCCGCATGCGTCCCGAAAACCGAAGGTGTCATTTCCACCTACCCAGTACAACGCTTCGTGGCCCCACAAGGAGCTCCACTGAAGGCCCCAGTGAGACCGTCCGCAAGCGTCCCGAAACACCCAATGTGGCATTTTCACCCACCCAATACAGCGCTTCGTGGCCACATAAGGAGCTCCACCGAAGCCCCCAGTGGGACCGTCCGCATGCGTCCCGGAAGCCCAATTTGGCATTCTCATCCACCCAGTACAGCTTTTCGTGGCCCCATAGGGAGCTCCACCGAAGCTCCCAGTGAGACCATCCGCATGCGTCCTGGAAACCCAGTTTGGCACAACACCCACCCAGTACAGCGTTCCCCCCCGCCCAGTGAAGCGCTTCGTGGCCCCACAGGGAGCGTCACCGAAGAAGATATTCACAATTGCGGTACCCACAACTACATATGGTTGGGTCCTTTGCCAAGGTAATTTCAGAGTGACTGACGGGATGATGGTGGTGAACAGTGAACCCGCGTGCGCCGGAGCGCGCCCTGCGCGGGCTGCCCGAGCTGGGCTTCGCGCAGACGTTCCCACAGCATCCCCCCACGATTCTTGAAAGATGATGTCGCCTGGCTTCTCGCAGACGTCCTCACACAGGGAGCCCACAAAGGACGTACGCGCCCAGCTATGTACATGAACACGGCCCCTCGATCCGCGAGACCAGCCGCGTGATACGAACATTTGCGCAATGCGTACTCTCGAAACCAGCGCGGATTCATGTACATGTACGTCCTTCTTTCGCTCCTGATCACAGTGTTCCCCCCTTCCCACAGTGGCTGGCGGGGTCACCAGATCGGTCGAGCTCCTGGGCCGTCGGAGGCAGCGACGGAGCGAGGGCTGGCAGACTCGGCCCCCCCGCTTCTCGGGGCCAGGCCCCCGTGAAGAGGGGGAGGGCGAGGCACACCGACGTGGCATCGGCGATGCATCGCCGATGGGCCCCCGATGCAGCGCACCCGCACGCTCCTGGGCGGGATTGGCGATCGTGAAGGGGCCCTGGGACACACAAACAAATACGCACAGATAAAAGGATTCCCCGCATTTTCCAATATCTTTTGGGGTTTTGTCTCCCCCCCCCCACTTGCTATGCCCTGGGACACACCAAGAAATACACACAAATAAAAGGATTCCCCGATTTTTCCAATATCTGTTGGGTCTTCGTCTCCCCCCCCACTTGCCACAGATTCCCAGATTCTCTGGGTAACAGACGATGAATTGTGTCTGTGTGTTTTTTTTCCCTCCCGATATCGGGCCCTCGTCGGCGATCCCTGGGCGATCGGGGGGCGATGTACCCCCCGCCCAGGGCCGATCCCCCCCCCCCCCCCAAACGTTTCCCCGGACCCTGCCGTGGCTCCCTGCCGCCCCTCTCCAGGCCGCCGGGCCCCCCCCACTGCTGCTGAGAAGGAGCATCACACGTTTTGGATGGCCATCGGCTGTCATAATTACAGCCTGCGTGTGCGTGTGTGGGTCACTAATGCCACATCGCCGGAGCAGTCCCGCTGCCCAGCCGCCGACGCATAAAGTGTGTGTGTGTGACCATCAGCTATCGTACAAACAAAACGTTCGCTGTCATACACAAGCGCGATCTTCGACGTCAGCCACACGCCACTTTTACTGCCGCCAGCGGCGACAAGAACAAACGCGTGACGATCCATCTCAGCAAAACCGAACTTGCTCGTGAGGCCCCCTCCCCCCGTGGGCGGGG